TGGGTCGATGGGCAAGAAGGCATGGCCCGCCATCACGGGCAGCCGGGGGGCTTCCTCGTCTTCGGCCTCAGCTGGGGGGCCGGCGAGAGCAGCCTCCTCGGGGTCTTCGCGGCCCCCTTCAGGACTTGAGCGCCTCTTCGCCTCCGCGGTCTCCGGCTGGCCCCGGGTGCTGTGCTGGCACCGGTCCCACGGCAGGGTGGCATCAGTGTCCCCCAGGTGTTCATCTGGGGCTGGTGGCACCTTGTCCAGGGGGGTGGCCAGGGCCACTTTCCCCAGCTCCAGCAAAGCCACCTCCTCAGGGGGCAGGATGGGCTCAGCGGCAGCCATGAGAGTGGCCGGCTCAGTACCGCTGGGGATGCCACTGGGGACTGGCAAGAAACTCTCCTGCATTTTGAGGTGTCAAGAGGGGACTAGGTTCCCGTCCCTCCCGCTTCACCCTGAGCCAGAAGAAAGGAGACAGACAAAAAAACAGCAGAAATGAGAGGTTTGGGGTCATGCACACAGCCCCGATTACAACGTGGGGGGCGAATTGGCAGGCGCCCCCAGCCGCCACCCCTGGAATCCCCATCACCTGCCTGCCCTTCCACTCTTAGGACAAAGCAGAGCCCAGCATCCCCATGCTGTCATGCCCTGCCAGCGCACCCAGCCCATGGCAGCGGGATCAGGGCATGTGGTACCGTGTGTGTGGGCACCATTGCCCAGACCTGGGCGCCTGGTGAGCCCAGGGTGTGCGGGTCTGGCTGCAAAACGGGAATTTTTTCCCCATCTGGCCAAACATCCCGGGGTTTCTAGCTGGGCACGAGCCTCGTGACTCGGGAGAGCTGGACGCTGCCTGGCGAATGCAACTGGCTGCACCCGCGGCTCCGTACCGTGCTGGCATCAGCCAAGCCCTGATACCTGGGGAGAGCCGGCCAGGCCGCATCTAGGAACCACAGCTAAAGCCAGGATGAGCCAGATTTGCTGCCTCTTGTGGCTGAGACCGATCTGGGGCGGGCACAGGACGCTGCCGGGTGCCCCTTGCTATCGGGGAGCAGGAGATCCAGGCAGAAATCTCACATTTATCCCTCTTAGCAAGGGATCCCTCTTAGCCCATCCCAGGTGTTGCTGGCTGCGGGCATGGGAGTCTCCTGCAATGAAAATCTCTCTCTTTTTCCCTTCTGGCACATTCATCCCGGCACCCCCCAAAAGAGCCCTGGCACAGCCACAGACATGGGGAAACTGAGGCACAGAGTGGCGCGGGGCTTCATTCACACAAGGGAGTATGGCTAAAGCAGCTTCCTGTGTCTCGCACGCCTCCCTCTCCCCTCTCCCAGCCCCACTCGCTCATCGCCCCATGGGACACCGGGCTGGCAACGGGCTCCCCTCGCTGCAAAACTTACTTGGAGAGAGGTGGGGGGCCATGGGGCTGGGGGCCGCGCAGCGGCGGCAGGCTTGCTGGGGGGCTGCGGAAGGCCTTC